AATAATCTATGTACAATATGATATATATTGAAGTTGAGATGTTAAAGATATTAATACTTCATAATAATATTTTTTTATATAGATAGTTGAGTTACTTAAAAATAAATGAGAATAATTAAAGAATATATTATAAAATAAAAAGATTATTATAAGAATTTGATCAATAGTTATATTATTAACTTATTCAAGAAATCAACAGAAACTAATTTTATTATATTTTTATATATAAAAAGAGTATTTACTACATTTCTTGCACAATCATCAGTGATTTCATTCATAATAATAGCCATTGGTTTAGAATGAAAAAATATATATAAATTTTGTTAATGTTTTTCAAAAATATAAGATAAATAAATTTGACATAAAGCAGATGCTTTTGGAATTGTATCATCTTCTTTTAAATATTTTTGAAAAAAAAGCAAGTGGTTTATTTTTTTAAGAAAATATTTGTAATAGAAAATGCTTTAATCAAATCTTTAATAACTTGTTTTTTAGAATCAACAATTGTAAGTATAGTTATTTTATTTATTAATTTTGCATTTAGCTTTATTTGTATTATGTTTTTTGCTATTAAGATATCTATCTATTATCGATTTAGCTTTCCAATCAATTGATTCATTATCGGAAATACAAAATATAATACCATTATTAACTCGAAAAAGTTCTGGATATTCATTAGCTCTTAATTATATTATAAGTTTTTCTTTTTTTTGTTTAATTATTGATATTCATAAAATCACTTACAAAAGATACTAAAAATGATTATAATACATATTTATTTGTTTCAATTTATGTAGTATCAACATTCTGTGAAAAATTGTAACAAAATAAGAATTCTGTACTATTCTGTGGTGAATTATGTATTTATCACAGGATTCTGTGAATTCTGTGACATTCTGTGAATCATCGGCCCTGATTCAGATTGACATGATCCGGATTTATATAATTCGAATTGACATATAATCCACTATCCTGCTTTAGCGTTCCCTCACAGTGGCAACAATCGGACAATCTGATTTGATGACATGCCCATGGAGCGCAACAAGATATAAACGCGCACCTACAATTTCTTTCTTCTCATAACACTGACAGCATGGACCGCGAATATACCAAATTTGTATTTCAATATGCGAAAGACTACCCCGAGAAAACTGAAAATGATGCTTACGCTGCATATATGGCATCGAAACAAGGTAAGCAAGCAATGAATACATGTTTATTGGGAGAATAGTTGGAATGCATTACGACATGGGACGTAGAGCAGAGTCGTAGCATAGCTAGGTTCTACATAAACTCGTTTGAAAGGCAAATAAGTAAGATATGATACGTTTG